TTTGCATGTTTAACATAACGTCTGACTGGCCTGGTTTGTACTCAGCTTTCTTCTTGCAAATATAAACTGCACATCACCGTTGGATGCACTGTGATTCTATGAAAGTTTCTACAGTGTAAAGGAAGTGAACTCTCATGTCAGGATTTGCCATCTTTCAGTTTCTTCAAATGTTTCTTAATTCAGTCTCAAACCACAGCAACAAGAAGACAGTCAGTATAACGAAAGATATCAAATTCAAAACTAATCACCTGAAGTACTTTCCTGCACACTGCCTGTGGGACTCATTGCTACAGGATACCACTGAGGCCAGGAGCTTAGCAGGATCCAGAAAAGGAGTCGACTTTTATATAGATAAGAGTATTGTAATACTCACTTATACAAAGCAAAGGAATTCCTGGATAACTGAAAGTAACAACTCTAGCACATACAGGCAGGACTTGACTGCCCATTAACCCCCCGATCAGACACAACACATAACATACAAGACTATAGCTTCACCCTAAAAGAGAAATACAGCACCATATGTTGGTGGAGGTGCTGTCAGGACTGATCATTATACTAACCAAAGTTGCTGTAGTAAGCATTAACAAGGGGGGGGGGAAAGGAGTTTTGGAAGAAATAAAAACTCTTATTCCAGCTGAGTATCAACTGATCTCTGAGTATTGGAAGTTAGGAGGATAATTTTTCTGGAAGGATGTCATCCCTCAAATATCTTGGCCTGAGCTGAGTTAACCCTTTTGGGTGGGGTGGGGTGGGTCGGGGTGGGGTTTGGCACTTTAGTCTGCCTCCTCAGATGAAGGCAATGAGTACAGAAGTCATGTGTTGGGGATCATGTGACTAAGAACCAGGCCTGCTGGGCGATATAAGGGCAGCCTGGGTTTAGTCAAGAGAGAGACTGCAGAGAAACTAGCTGTGGGCCTAAGTGTTTCATTAATGAGTAAGACCTAGCCAGGAAAGGGCTAATAAGGAGGCGGTCTAGGTTGGTTGCATATGAAGAGGTCACTATAAAAGCACATTTCAATGAACTTTGCAAAAAGCGTGAGCCAGGCGTTCCTAAACTCTTTCACAGTGTAGGCCACTTTTTAATTCACAGGTTGTTTTGTGGACCCTTCTCATTCAGAATCACATGCCCCATTCTCTTTCTCATTTGTGATCATGTAACACTCCTGTGGCTACTGTAGCAGTTGCTTACAATGGAAAAACATTTCATTTACTCTGAACTGTCTCAAGGGGATTAAGCAGATGGAAATAAAGTTAAATAGCGCTGACTCTTCTACCAGCAAACTTTCCATGGACCATGGTTTGGGAGACTCTGCAATAGAGCAGGGTCCTCAGTAAGGTATCTAGGTGTTGCTGGGAAGAGTCCTCGTAAGACTCCAGGTGCTGCTCTGAGGACAGCATGTTGTATGCTGGGTAGAGAACTTCAGTATAATTCTCTCTATACAACTATGGGCTGCATGTGTTTTATGATTCAATGTGTATAGCTATAAACTTTAGATGGACTTTCCTGATTGCTAATTTTATGATTTAAAAGGTATATATTGTATAGTGCTGAGAGCCCCAAGTCAAGTTTTTTGTCTGCTAGGCACTTTACAATCACAAAGGTAAAAATGTCCCCTCTCTTACAGAATGGAAAATACACTGTAAAACATGATGGTGTTATATATGAATTGCATGGCTTGCTAGAAATACTTCTCTTGTGAATCAATGGCTTTCTGAACTCATCAGTGTACGAATTACAAGCTCCACCCGAGCTGGGAAGGTCCTTTTGGTTTTATGACAGTAAATATTTAGTCAGAAGTGATCATGCAGACTAAAGTAATGGTAGGTTTGTGCATCCGTTTGCAGTGTACTTTTAAATGCTGGCAAAGCAAGATCATTTCCCACTTGCATCTCATGGGTAAGGAAGGGGGAGGAATCAATGCAACGTTCTGCACTACTATGTTATGAGGCTTGGCAATAGCCTTGCTAGTTGCTGTTGTGTTGTGAGTAATGTGCTCTGCTCTCATTTGTGTCTTCATAAACAACTATCGATACTGTCTTCAGTGAACATGAACACAATCACACAGAGAAAGGGATGTTGAAGACTGGGAGAGGTGACGATGAGTTGATTCAGGGTATGTCTACAGTATGAAATTAATTCAAACTTATTCTATTCGAATTTTCAGAAGCGATTTTATACATTCGGTGTTGTGTGTCCCCACTAACGCGTGTGAATTCGGCAGAGTGCATCCACAGTACCGAGGCTAGCATCGCATGTCGGAGTGGTGCACTGTGGGAAGCTATCTCACAGTTCCCACAGTCCCCGCCGCCCATTGGAATTCTGGGTTAAGCTCCCAGTGCATGATGGGGCAAAAACATTCTTGCGGGTGTTTCTGAGTGTGTGTCGTCACTCGCTCCTCCCTCTGTGAAAGCTACGGCAGATGCCATACTGCAAGCAGATGGTGCAGTACGGTGCACTGCCTGTCTCCTGGTACTATGAATCGACCTCGCATATCCTCTCGTCTTTCTATCTACTCTTTTATCTAACCATTTCCCACCTTTTTTCGGCCACCGTGAACCGAGCAGCACAGCTTCCACCACAAACTCTGCTCTCCCGCTCTTGCAGCTCTAGCGAGCTTCCTGCCTCCGGGAAAGCTACAGAAGACAACCATTTACCGCCTTTTATTGGCCATCTTGAACTGAACAGCTCTCCTATGTTTTGCGCCGTTTTTCCATACTTACCCATGCAGGCACCATAGCGCAGCAAGCATAGAGCCCACTCAGATCTCCTCTGCCGTTTTGACTATTATAAATACCTCACGCATTATCTAGCAATATGTGCAGTACCTGCAAAACCGGGCGAGGAAGCGATGACAGCGTGATTACTATACCGATGAGGACATGGACACAGACGTTCCTAGAAGCACGGCATGTGGCGATTGGGAGATCATGGTGGTGTTGGGCCAAGTTCATGCCATGGAATGCCAATTCTGGGCCCAGGAAACAAGCACAGACTGGTGGAACCGCATAGTGTTGCAGGTCTGGGATGATTCCCAGTGGCTGTGAAACTTTTGTATGGGTAGGGACACTTTCATGGAACTTTGTGACTTGCTGTCCCCTGCCCTGAAGCGCAAAGACAGCAACCCTCACAGTTGAGAAGCGAGTGGCGATAGCCCTATGGAAGCTTGCAACGCCCGACAACTACCGGTCAGTTGGGAATCAGTTAGCAGTGGGCAAATCTACTGTGGGGGCTGCTGTGCTGCAAGTAGCCAATGCAATCATTGACCACCTGCTATCAAGGGTAGTGACTTTGGGAAATGTGCAGATTATTGTGGATGGCTTTAATGCGCTGGGCTTCCCAATCTGGTGACAGATGGAACGCATATCCCTATCTTGGCCCCGCAAGGGGTACTTTTCCATGGTGCTGCAACCATGGTGGGACGTTTCACTGACATCAACATGGGATGGCCGGGAAAGGCGCATGACGCTCACATCTTCAGGAACTCTGGTCTATTTGAACAGCTGCAGGAAGGGACATACTTCCCAGACCAGAAAATTACTGTTGGGGATGTTGAAATGCCTATACTTATCCTTGGGGACTCAGCCTACCCCTTAATGCCATGGCTCATGAAACCGTACACAGGCACCCTGGACAGTAGTAAGGAGCAGTTCAGCTATAGGCTGAGCAAGTGCAGAATGGTGGTAGAATGTGCTTTTGGACGTTTGAAAGCGCGCTGGTGCAGTTTACTGACTCGGTTAGATCTCAGCACAACCAATATTCCAATTGTAATTGCTGCTTGTTGTGCGCTCCACAATATCTGTGAGAGTAAGGGGGAGACGTTTATGGTTGGGTGGGAGGTTGAGGCAACTTGCCTCCTGGCCAATTTCGCACAGCCAAACAACAGGGTGATTAGAAGAGCGCAGCAGGGCACGCTGCGCATCAGAGAAGCTTTGAAAGCCAGTTTCATGACTGGCCAGGGTACGGTGTGACAGTTGTGTTTGTTTCTCTTGAAGTTACCCACCC